TGCGTGCGTTCATAATTGTATGACACGCACGTTCGGTGCGTATTTGTGTGCTTCGTAGTACTACAGCTAGCTATGTGCTTGCGTGCTGGCTGCCTGTATAAGTAGGTACGGGCGTGCGTACGTGCGTTCGTCTGTGCGTGCCTGCGTGCGGGCGTAATCATTAGAATGGTGTGGCGGACGCATGAGCGTGTACAGCCGAACTGTGCGATCAGAAAGCATATCACACACAAGCAGCTAACGTATGCACGCACGCGCCGCCTTGACGCACGTTGCATACGCGCGTTGCCAGGCACGTGCACGCGGACGCTTGCATGTAGAGCGTACACGCACCCCGCACGCATGACATGGAAGAATGCGCGCATAGTGATACGCGTGTATCTAGGACGCTACAGTGTTACACATAAAGACGTATGTATCCCCGTGTACGCCACACACAGGGAAGGCACGGCAATCGCGACGGGCACCGCATGTCGTTTTTCTCACGATGACCGTCAAGGTAACTGGGAGCAGGGCGAGTTGCCTTGGGAATAAGTTTTCTTGCGAAGTCGCAAATCACGGAACAGCAATGAGGGGCCGTGTCCATCGACCGTAGGGTAGACAAAAGTTTTTTGCTTTAGCGGCACGCTGGCGATGCATGTAATACATGCAAAATCCTATTCGCTTCGGCCCGCGCGCTGCGGTGAAACAAGAAAACACGCAACTTTACTGAAATAATTCTTAGTGTAAACGCAGGACGGTGTATTATGTAGTGTTGTTGTAGTACGTACGGCGACTTGTGTACATTTGAGGCGATGGCAGCATTTTCTCTCGGTATCGCTTCCCTTATTGTTCATACGAGACAGCTGATCGTAGCACGACAATTATACGATATACATTTAGCTACACACATATATCCAGGAAATCTATTACAAAGGTTATAGGTAAGGCATCTACTACTGCAATGACGTCAATGAAACACTACAGCCAGAGGTATTTAAAGAGATCCGTAATGAAAAAGAAATCTTGAATATGTTGTAATTAAGATTCTATAGATTATATACGTTAAGAACAATTAGTAACTTTTAAAACCTATCTTGTTGAAGCGATTGACACTGTAGCACGCATTAAGCAGGTGACAATAAAACACACACGAAGACATGGTTTCACTCGCAGATAAAAGAACTTATTAGGCCAAAGACAGGAAACTATTACAATTCACGAGAAATAACGATGACATTGACTTTAGGCATTTTAAGTACTTACAAATAAAACGACAATGACATTAAGAGGGCAAAGCTATTTTTCTACAGAAAAGATTGAAAGGAAACAACAAAATTTGTAACAAACTATGGCAAAATCGAAAAGAGTAATGGCTATGAACAATAAGCAAAAATAAACTGGCATGTGGTGAGGTAGCTTTAAAAATGTAAAAAAATTAGGTACTAGGAAATATTGAAAGTTTGCCCTGTAAGCAAAGAAGCGGTCTAAACGTTACTTAATAACATAAACGCAGATAAGGCTACGGGTTAGATAGCTATACCAGGTCAATTATAAAACATTGTGTCGCATTTTGTTTATTTATTGTGTTATCCATGTAATCTATGGTTTAATTCTTAATTATAAAAAAAAAAATAAAAAAAAAAAGAAATGAAATGATAAATGTTGTGTAACCGATGGAAAGTTATCTTCGTGCTTTTCACTTCTTACATCTAATAAGGTTACAGTTGTATGCAGTAAAATACAGTCGCACGACCAATTGAGACACTAGGACTGCTGATCGTAGCACAACAATTATCGATATACATTTAGCTACACATCTATGAAATCTATGACAAAGGGTTATAGGTAAGCATCGTACTACTGCAATGACGTCAATGAAATACTTACTGCTACACCGAAATTACTATGTTGTTTGGACACATGTAGCAGCATGAAGCAGGTGACAATAAAACACACATGAGAGACATGCTTTAACTCGCAGATAAAAGAACTTATTAGGCCTTACTTCTTTAACTTATTAGGTTATTAATCCTGCAAACTTCAAATGTGCTGTTTTCGTGATTTTATTGACTTTTGTTCCACTGACTACAAGGCTAACATGAGATGTGCACCCACATATATTACTTGAAAGGGCAAGTGAAAAAACATTTCTAACTTATGGAAAAGGTGAATAGGATGGAACCACAGTTGACTTCATATTTCCGTAATCTGGTAATAAATAATAGATGAAATAGACGGTATATAGGGTAGGTAGGTATGTAGGTAGATATAGGTAGGGAGGAACATTGTGTAATAACTATAAGTAGAATAATTATGTTTACTATTGAAATGTTATCTCACCGATGGAAATGAAAAGTAATCTTTGCTGCTTTTGACTTCTTACATCTAACAACGTCACAGTTGTATGCACTACAATACAGTGGCATGATATATTGTAAGCGGGTAATACTGATCTTACAAGAAGTGCATAGAAATGTTAACACTTATAATCAGAAAAAGAAGAGAGTACGTGTAGACAGTGACACAAAAGGAATAGATTTATTACAAGAAAGCTCTTGCAGTAAGAAATGGTCGCACGACAGTACAAGAAGAGGTGCGTAAAAGACAGTGCCAAGCTAAGTGCTTCTCTTACTACAGCTATAAGAAAACTACGTTTAGAAATATAAGAGAGATTATTTCCTGTACTAGAAAGACAGTTCACTATACGATAGTACAAATTAAATCAAGATAGATATAGTAGCAAAACCCTAAGCCTCGCTTAGAACAACTTACGTACTGCAGCAAAGACGAACACACACTCAGGCACAGACAATATTAAGACTCTCAAGCATGCCCGCTTCGCGTGGCTTTATATATGCTCTTTATTTTAGTATCCACGAACCCTCCGAAATAAGGATTTATCCTTTGTTAACCAAGCGGCCGTCCGAGAGAGGCGCAGCAGAGTTCCCGTTTTTAGAACAGATCTCTACATACACAAGCTTGACCATGTCGTAATTAATCAGTCCAACCATGCCAGCTAGCGTGAACCCGCAGCCGCTGCACGGTGCTTCACACATCTCGACCGCTCCCAGTTCCTCCAGAGAGGGGTAGTCTGTATTGCAAAGAACACCGACTCCGGGGACTCCACCCACTGCACGGCTCGTGTGCAAAAGTCGTATATAAACAATCTTGCTACCCGTGCATCAACAACAACACATTCGCCGCTGTTTCATGCGCAAACG